GGTCTCCCACATGGGTGCAGGGGCCTAAGGACTTGGGCCATCCTCCATTGCCCTCCCAGGCCACAGCAGAGAGCAGGATTGTAAGTGGAGCAGCCGGGACTCAAACTGGCACCTATATGAGATGCTGGCGCTGCAGGTGGTGGCCTTACCCGCTATTCTACAGTGCCGGTCCCAAGTTCGTTTTCTTTGTAGTGATTTTTTTTTTTTTTAAGATTCCTTGGAATATCCTATGCAGATAACAATGTCATTTGAAAATAGGGATGGCTTTATTTTTTCCCTTCCTATATGTATGCTTTTAATTCCCCCCCCCCTTTTTTTTATTTTTTAACAGGCAGAGTTAGACAGTGAGAGAGAGAGAGAGACAGAAAGGTCTTCTGTCCATTGGTTCACCCCCCAATGGCCACTGCGGCTGGCGTGCTGCAGTCAGCACACCGCGCCGATCCGATGGCAGGAGCCAGGTGCTTCTCCTGGTCTCCCATGGGGTGCAGGGCCCAAGCACCTGGGCCATCCTCCACTGCACTCCCGGGCCACAGCAGAGAGCTGGCCTGGAAGAGGGGCAACTGGGACAGAATCCGGCGCCCCGACCTGTACTAGAACCCGGTGTGCCAGTGCCGCAGGTGGTGGATTAGCCTATTGAGCCACGTTGCTGCACCACCCCCCCTTTTAAAGATTTTATTTATTTGTTTGAAAGGCAGGGCTATGGGGTGGGGTGGGGGAGACAGAGAGAGGGATCTTCCATCCTCTAGTACACTCCCAGATGGCCATAACAGCCGGAGCTGGGTGGATCCAAAGCCAGAAGCCAGGAGATTCTCCTAGATCTCCCACGAGGGTACAGGGGCCCAAGGACTTGCGCCATCTTCCATTGCTTTCCCGGGTGCATCAGCAGGAAGCTGGACTGGAAGTGGAGCAGCCAGGACTAAACTAGAGCATATTATGGGATATCAGCATCACAGGCTGTGGTTTTACCCGCTATGCCACACAGCACTGGCTCCTCCTCTTCCTACCTAATTATCTTGGGCAGAACTTTAAGTACAACGTTGAACAGAAGTGTGGATTTCCTGTCCCTAATCTTAGAAAGCAGTCAGTCTTTCATCATTAAATATGATGTTAGCTGTAGGTTTTTCATAGTTTCTCTTTAACAAATTGAGATAGTTTCCATTCCAAACTGGTTGAGTTTTTTTTAAAGAATCATGCATGGGTGTTGGATTTTGTCAGATGGCTTATGTATCAATGCTCCTTGGCCTTGATGGGGACGAAGACCTGTCATTTATTTCAACTCGAGAGAAGACAGCAAGTGTGGTCCAGATGCATCTGGGACGCAAATGAGCTGGTGAGAAGGTGGCAGTCCAGGCTGCTCTCATTTCTTCAGTCGAGTGGGTGGTGACACCATAAGTTAAATTCAAGGAGAGAAGAAGTAGAATCAGACAGTTGGGGAGGAGGTGGTATGAATTATTCAACTTAGAAAATGCAAATATACCAGAAAACTTATTGGGAAATTTGTCCAGTCGAGATATGCCGTCATGACTATAAACGGAGACATGACTGATTGTTGATTTTGCTCAAGCCATGCTCTCAATTTTGCAGGAACAAAGCAGGGAGATGGCTAGGTTCAAGCCATGCAGGTTTGCAGGGGGTGAGGGGGAGGGCTGGGCAAGGGGAGCTAGGTTGTGCAGGGGAGAGATTATATTAATTAAAATAATCTGTGAGGCAGCATCCCATATGGGCAACTCTTCAAGTCCCAGCTGCTGCACATCTGATCCAGCTCCCTGCTAACAGCCTGGGATAAGCAACAGAGGATACCGAAGTCCTTGGACCCCTGCCATCCATGTGGGAGACCCAGAAGCTGCCCCTGGTTTTGATCTGGCCTTTGTGGCCTCTTGGGGAGTGAACCATTGGATGGAAGATCTCTCTCTCCCTCCCACTCATCTTGTAACTCTGACTTTCAAATAATAAAATTTTTTTTTAATTTTATTTATTTCTTTGAAAGAGTTACAGAGAGGCAGAGGCAGAGAGAGAAAGGTCTTCGATTAGCTGGTTCACTCCCTAGTTGACTGCAACGGGTGGAGCTGCACTGACCCGAAGCAAGAAGCCAGGAGCTTCATCATGGGGGTGCAGGGGCCCAAGGACCTGGGCCTGGCTTTCCCAGGCCATAGCAGAGAGCTGGCTCAGATGTGCAGCAGCCTGGACTTGAAGAGTTGCCCATACGGGATGCCAGCACTGCAGGCGATGGCTTAACCTGCTAGGCCACAGCGCCGTCCCCCAAAAAATAAATCTTAAAAAAATGAGTCTGAAATGGGTAAACAAAAATGCAAGGGCATGTCAGTGATTATGCTTGTCAATAAATTGGAAGACCTGTGACAGCTGAAGAACAGTGTCCTGGGGTTGTTGAAAAGGTGAACCATGGGGCAGGAAGCGCCTAATCGGCACCTGGACCTCCCGGGAAAGCAGCCTGCGCAGTGGCACAACTCTTGAGTGACGGTGTGGGCCGGCGCCTCGCTGTGCAGTGAGAGGCCCAACCACGTGTGGCTGTTCACATTTAAATAAAATTGAACTTGTGCACTAGGCACATTTCAGGGGCTCCACACCCCACAGATCTCATGGCTGTTGTACCAGACAGTACAGACAGAAAATATCCATCTTCACAGATGGCTTTGTCATGTATCAGGTCAGTTTCTTGAGTGGCACATAATGTAGCCACTGTCATTCCAAAACAAGGTGCATAGACCCCACAGGCTAACCTCCCCCACCTTCTGTCCGGGGAAGAAGGGGAGGCGGTAAGGCCCGAAGGTCAGGGCTGCTATTGGCCGAAGGACACCAGAAGGCTCGCCAGAGCAGAGCGCATCTTTACTGTGGACGGACAGCCGCGCGTGCCCCTCCTGGCCAGCCCTTAGGAATTGATGATCTCAATGTGGAACTGCAGGTGGGTGGCGGTGACCACGCAGTGGCCGCGGAGAAGAGCGCACGTCTGGCAGTTGTGGCACTGCCAGTGGCACTGGATGACGTAGATGGCATTGAGCACCTGGCGGTATCGCCAGTGGACGCGCCACATGCGGACCAGAGACTGCAGCTTGATCACCGCCCTCTCTCGCTGAGCGTAGACCAGCAGGGCCTCGCGCCGCTTCCTCTCCAGCAGCTTGAGCAGCGTCAGCCGCCACCAGCACTGGATGATCCAGGCCCTGAGGGCCATGTGCAGCAGCGTGCGGCGCACCAGGGTGCCGCGCCACCACGCCTGGATCCATATGGCTGCGATTTCTTTTCTTTTCAAATCTTTCTAGGCGGAGAGAATAGAGACCACTCAGGGGGACGTCCTGCCACCAATGTCCAGGATCTTCCTGGGAGCCTGGATTCTCTGTCCCTTTTTATTTTTATTTTACTTATTTATTTATTTTTGACAGGCAGAGTGGACAGTGAGAGAGAGAGACAGAGAGAAAGGTCTTCCTTTACCGTTGGTTCACCCTCCAATGGCCGCCGTGGCCGGCACGCTGCGGATGGTGCACCGCGCTGATCTGAAGGCAGGAGCCAGGTGCTTCTCCTGGTCTCCCATGGGGTGCAGGGCCCAAGCACTTGGGCCATCCTCCACTGCACTCCCGGGCCACAGCAGAGAGCTGGCCTGGAAGAGGGGCAACCGGGACAGAATCCGGCGCCCCAACCGGGACTAGAACCTGGTGTGCCGGTGCCGCTAGGTGGAGGATTAGCCTAGTGAGCCGCGGTGCCGGCCTCTCTGTCCCTTTTTAAACACTTTCAATTATTTGAGAAAGAGAGAGAGAGAGAGAGACAGACAGACCTTGCATCTACTGATTCACTCTCCAAATGGCCACAACCAGGATCCAGGAACTCAATCTGCATCTCCCATGTAGGTGCAGGGACCCAACTACTTGAGCCATCACCTGCTGCCTCCCAGGGTGTGCACTTACAGGAAGCTGGAACGGAGCATGGAGCTAGGATTGGAACCGGACATTGTATGGGGGTTGGGAGGGCACCTACAGGGGTGATCAAGCTGTTGCATCGTATGCCTGCCCCTGAATTCTGTGTCTTAACATCAGTCCTTCCTCAGAGAGAGCAGGGACCAGCAGGACCCTAACTAGGAGCCAGGACACCGACGGTGACTGTCTCCTGCCATGAGGGCACGTCGTCACAGCCCCAGGGTCCCAGGTCCTTCACCAGGCTGTCTCGGCGTGTGGAATGACTCCGTTTTTGGCAACTGGTGAGCTTTTGGCTTCCTCATGGTGCCCTCTACTGCTGCCCCTCCCCTCTGAACATTCTGCTGTCAGACTTGGAGCCCCCGCCTTCTCCCTTCTCTGCCCCATGCATTTTTGGATGACCCCGCTTCTGTGCAGTCACCTTCTGTGTCATGGTCAGACCCGGGTGCAGCGCAGCCAGGCCGAGAAAGGCCGGGGAAATGAGCTCACACTGAGTGGACTCCCGAGGAGTTCAGGCTTTGGAGCCATCAGAGGCAAAGCCCACACTCTTGTGATGTGGATGAAAACGTCCTGGATTTCTCTTAACAACAAGGAATTCTACCCACCATTTTCTTTTTCTTTTCCATAAGACGCCATTGAGTTATTTCTTCAGTATCTTCAACCTCAATTATCATGAAGTGGCCATCGACCTGTGGTCAGAACAAGATGGGAAATAGAGGCTGAATGAGGCTGCGGCTTCTCGGTCTGCACCAAGGGCCTCGCTGCTTAGCCTCCTTGTGTCACCGAGACTGTGGGCCCCAGGCTGAGGCTCACCCATCCCTAGCCCACCTGGTAGATCTGGCCATTTTCTCTTACACAAAATCGAACCCCCATTGCCTGTTTCTAGATGGTTCATTAGCCCTGATTTCTGTACTTCCACAGGCGTGGCGTGAGCAGTGTGGGTGAGAGGAGAGGTATGAGCTCACAATGCACTGTGACATGGGCCTGGCAGTCTTCCGCTAGCGGAGTCTGCCTCACTGCGACCGCGTCTGCCTGCCTTGCCTCCCACCTGTCAGAGCTGTGCCAGAGCTCCGGGCGGAGGGGCAGGGCACCGGGATGGCACTCGTACTTGGGCTGAGGCTAGGACTAGGAGTAGGAACTCAATAACTCAGGAACCAGAATCTCAGTCCTGGTCTCCCATGTTGCTGGTGGCAGGAACCCAGTTACTGGAGGCATCATTGCTGCCTCTCAGGGTCTGCACTGGCAGAAAGTTGGAGTCGGGAGCAAAACTGTTAAAGTTGAGCCAGGAACCAGAACCGTTAATCGAACCCAAGCACTCCAATGTGGGATGCAGGTGTCAACCACTATGGAAAATGTCCCATTTTTGCCTTTATTTTTGAACCTATATATTTCCTCCTTGTAATTTCTTTATTTTTTTTTTTTTTATTTTTGACAGGCAGAGTGGACAGTGAGAGAGAGAGACAGAGAGAGAAAGGTCTTCCTTTTGCCGTTGGTTCACCCTCCAATGGCCGCCGCTGCAGCCGGCGCACCGTGCTGATCCGATGGCAGGAGCCAGGATCCAGGTGCTTTTCCTGGTCTCCCATGGGGTGCAGGGCCCAAGCACCTGGGCCATCCTCCACTGCACTCCCTGGCCATAGCAGAGAGCTGGCCTGGAAGAGGGGCAACCGGGACAGAATCCGGCGCCCCGACCGGGACTAGAACCCGGTGTGCCGGCGCCGCAAGGTGGAGGATTAGCCTATTGAGCCACGGCGCCGGCCCTCCTCCTTGTAATTTCAACATTTTATTTTCTTTTTGACAGGCAGAGTGGACAGTGAGAGAGAGAGACAGAGAGAAAGGTCTTCCTTTTTTGCCGTTGGTTCACCCTCCAATGGCCGCCGCGGCCGGCGCGCTGCGGCCGGCGCACCGCGCTGATCCGATGGCAGGAGCCAGGAGCCAGGTGCTTCTCCTGGTCTCCCATGGGGTGCAGGGCCCAAGCACCTGGGCCATCGTCCACTGCACTCCCTGGGACAGAATCCAGTGCCCCGACCGGGACTAGAACCCGGTGTGCCGGTGCCACAGGCGGAGGATTAGCCTAGTGAGCCACGGCGCCAGCCTAATTTCAACATTTTATTATCTGTTAAAACATTGTTCATATACTTTCATCTGTCCTTAGGGGTGGTTTTCTCTAGCTTTTTGAAGATACTACGAATAACAATTTAGAGGCAGGCATTTGGCACTTAAAATGCCTCTTGGCATATCTGCATTATGTAGTGGAGTGTCTGAGTCTGTATCCTGTCTCCACTTCTCATTCTAGCTTCCTGTTAGTGTGCACCCTGGGAGAAAGCAGGCTCCTAGCTTGGCTTGGTCCAGCCCTGGATATTTGTGGGCATTTGAGGAATGAACCAGGGATGGAAGATCTCTGTGTTTGTCTCTGTTTTTCAAATAATAAGTAAATAAATAAATAACAGTCAACTTAAGGTCCATGTCTACTGAGTCCAAGGTGTGTGTTTCATAAAGAATTATTTCTGTTGATCACCTTCTCCTTCCTTTGCATGTCTCATGTTGTTTTGTTGGAAACCAAACATTTATATATATTTTTAAAGATTTATTTTATTTGAAAGAGTTACAGAGAGGTAGAGACAGAGAGGTCTTCTATCTGATGGTTCACTCCCCAGATGGCCGCAATGGCCAGAGCTGTGCTGATCTGAAGCCAGAAGCCCCCTCCGGTCTCCCACGTGGGTGCAGGGGCCCAAGGACCTGAGCCATCTTCCACTCCTTCCCAGGCCACATCAGAGAGCTAGATCGGAAGAGGAGCAGCTGGGACTAAAACTAAAACCAGTGCCCATATGGGATGCCATTGCTTCAGGCCAGGGCTTTAACCTGCTGCGCCACAGCACTGGCCCCAGAAACGAGACATTTAAAATAACATAATGAGGCAACTCTAGAATCAAGTATTCTTCTCTCCCTGAGTTTTATGGCTGTTGCTGTTTAGTGTTGTAGTTATTGTGTGTTTGCTTAGTGACTTGTCTGAATTCATTCTGTCAGGTCTCTATTGTATGTTCTGTGTGGCCACTGATATTTCTTGTTCAGGTAGCTTAGTGGTCAGATACGGACTGGACCAAGTTTCCCTAAAGCTCGAGAGTGGATTTCTTAGTCTTTGCCAAGGGTCTTACTGTGTGTGTCAAGGGTCCCCTTCAACATTCAGTCATGCAGATTACAATTCTACCCTAGCCTTGGCTTCCTGCTCACGCACAGCCTCATGGTCAGCCAGAGAAGAGAGTCTAGAATCTTCCCGGGTCTCTCCTGCATGCGTGTGGTCTTCTGGGTTCCCAGGAATAGGTCGGATCTTTTCAAAGCTCTATGGACATAGCATTACCCATTTCCCCCTCGTCAGCCTTAAAAAAATTACTTATGTATTTATTGGAAAGAAGAGGGCACGTTTCCATCCACTGTTTATTCTCCACAGGCCCACGAGAGCTGGGGCCGGGCCTGACCTCAGCTAGGAACTCAGTCCTCATCTCCTGGGGGCCGGGGGGGCAGGGACCCAAGTACTTGAGCCATCACCTGCTGCTCCCCAGGGTGCACAGGAGCAGGAAACTGGAGTTGGGGTGGAGCTGGGGCTCAGCCCGGCACTCTGCTCTGGGGTGTGGGTGTCCCAAGTGATGCGAGGTCAAACATCTGCCACACTCTTCAGCTGTTTTATTAGTCTATTGTTTTTTACATTTTTTTTTTAAAAAGATTTATTTATTTGAAAGGCAGAGAGAGAAATCTTACATCTACTGGTTCATTCCACAAATGTCCACAGTAGTGAGGGCGGGGCCAGGTCAAAGCCAGGAGCCAATAACTCAATCAGGTTCTCCCACATGGTCATTAAAGCCATCATCAGCTGCTTTCCATGGTGCCCAGTAACAGGAAGTGGAGCCGGGATCCAAACCCAGGCTCTCCCGTATAGAGAGGGTGTCAGTGTGTGAGCGTCCCACGCAGCAGCTGAATGCACTACACCGTGATACCCATCCCAGGCTACTGTCCTTTTAAAGAAGAATATTCATATACGCATACGTAGGTGTGCATTCTTTTATCTGTTCATCCACAGACAGACGCTTAGTGTGTTTCTTGACAACTGCAATTAAAGCTGCAGTGGAGTCAAAATGTCTTCAAGATACTGATTATGCTGCCTTTGGCTATACAAAAAGTCTTCAAAGAGTTCTGGGGGAATGGGTATTGTGAAAAAACTCTGCATGAATTTTAATTTTTTTGTGCCTAAATAAACTTTTAATTTCATTTTTTAACAAACTATTTGAAGTACTCATATATATCCCAAAATGGGATTGCTGGGTCATGTGATAGTACTATTTAAAGTTTAAAAAAATTGTTTTATCTATTTGAGATAGACCTATTTGGGGGGGTTGCTGGGAGAGAGAGAGAGAGAGAGAGAGAGAGAGAGAGAGAGAGATTTCTTCTCCAAGTGGTTGCAGCAGCTAGGGCTGGGTCAGGCTGAAGTCAGGAAGGGAGACCTCCAGCCAGGACTCTCACAGGGATGGCAGCTGTCACTCTGCCGCTGCCCAGGATGTGGGTTAGCAGGAAGCCGAAATCAAGAGTGGAGCCATGGCCGGTGCCTCGGCTCACTAGGCTAATCCTCCGCCTTGCAGTACCGGCACACGGGGTTCTAGTCCCGGTCGGGGCGCCGGATTCTGTCCCGGTTGCCCCTCTTCCAGGCCAGCTCTCTGCTGTGGCCCGGGAGTGCAGTGGAGGATGGCCCAAGTGCTTGGGCCCTGCACCCCATGGGAGACTAGGATGGGTACCTGGCTCCTGCCATTGGATCAGCGGGGTGCGCCGGCTGAGTGGAGCCAGGACTTGAACCCAGGCACTGCAGGACGGGATGTGGGTGTCCCGAGTCTCAGCCACCCACACCAGAGGCCCAGCTGCTGTTCCTGAGTGTCTTAGAGGACACCTCAGGGCTGTTTTCCACAAGGTCTGTCCCGACTTCATCCCTACCCAGAGGGGTCCCTTTGCTGCACACCAGTGCCGACACCTGTTAACTCGGCCCCCGCTGGGCGGCGATATTGATTGTGGCCTTGGTGTGTATTTCCCTGAAAACTAGGGATGCTGAGCGCCTCGTTTACTTGTTGCCAGTTTTAGGTCTTCTTTGGGAAAATGTTCAGCTCCTTTCCCCATTTTTAATCAGGTTGCTTGCTTTTTGCTATTTTATAATTTTTCTTACATGTTTTGCATATGGAAAACTTGGCTATATGATTTACAAGTATTTTCTCCTATTTCACTGGCTGGCTTTTCAGTCTCTTGCTGGCTTTGCTGGGTGGGAGCTTCCAGTGGAGTGCCACTTTTTGTTTTTGCCTTTGTTGCCTGTGCTTTTGGTGTCACATCCAAAAATGCCACTGGCAAAGCCAATGTCAAGAAGCTTTTTCTCTGTGTTTTCTTCTAGGAGTTTTATGGTGTCAGATCATTCATTAATGTCTTTATTTCAAGCTAATTTTTGTGTATGATGTAAGACAAGGGTCCAGTTTCGTTCTTTTGTACAAAGGTATCCAGTTTCCCCAGCACCACTACTTGGAAAGGACACTGTCCTTTCCCCATTGTGTATGACAGCTTTGTTGAAGATCAGGTGACTACATTTGCATGGGTTTATTTCTGGGCTCTCTATTCCATCCTATTGGTCTGTGTGTCTGCTTTTATGTCAGTGTCATTCTGTTTTGATTATGATAGCTTTGTGATATAGTTTGAAGTCAGAAAGTTTGATGTGTTCAGTTTTGTTTTTCTTTCAAGGTAGCTTTGGCTGTTTGAGGTCTTTTGAGACTCCCTCTGAATTTTAGTTGAGAACCTTGTTAAAATACCCAGAACAGTCCTGTCATATTTGAAATGCTGAATTGAAACAACCACACTTTAATCTTAGAAATATTATATTAAGGGTGTAAGGCTATTTGAGGAACTGGTGAAATAATTTTAACTTTAGCTCAAGTTAAAAAATAGGAAATGAGATTCAAAGTCACAAAAAGTAGCTCAAATCATCCCCTCACAATTGAAATGTTGAGTCACCCTAGATCAACCCTATTGGCTTTGAACTTGGACTGAGACTTAATGGGTGACAGCTCTGCTGTAAGTTACATATAATTAATCAACATAGTTTTAGTATTTAAGTTGACGATGAAGGATTGTGTATACTCATGGATAGCATGCTTTTTTTTTTTTTTTTTTTGACAGGCAGAGTGGACAGTGAGAGAGAGACAGAGAGACAGAGAGAAAGGTCTTCCTTTCCCGTTGGTTCACCCTCCAATGGCCACCACGGCCCGAGCGCTGCGGCCAGTGCACCGTGCTGATCCCATGGCAGGAAGAGGGGCAACTGGGACAGAATCCGGTGCCCCGACTGGGACTAGAACCCAGTGTGCCGGCGCCGCAAGGTGGAGGATTAGCCTAGTGAGCCGTGGCACCGGCAGCATGCTGTTTTAAAATATGCATGCATTATGGCTAAATTGAGATAATCAACATATGCATTACTTCGTATAGCTTGTTTTTGTTTTTTTTTTTTGTTGTTTTTTTTTTGGTAGTGAGAACACTTAAAATCTGCTCTGAACAGTTTTCAAGAATCTGGGCAGGTGTTGTGGTGCAGCAGGTCAAGCCACTGCTTGCAGCGCTGGCGTCCATACCAGAGTGCTGGCCTGAGTCCTGGCTTCTCCACTTTTCATCCAGCAAATGGCAGGCTGATGCGTCCCGGGAGCAGTGGATGATGGTTCAAGTGCTTGGGTCCCAGTCACCCACCTGGGAGATCTACCTGTTGGAGTTCTGAGCTCCTGGCTTCAGCTCGGCCCAGCACTGACTGTTGCAGGCATTTGGGGAGTGAATCAGTGGATGATCGATTTCTCAATGGGACCATAATCACTGTCCAGTTCTAGAAAATTTTCATTACTCAGAAAAAAAAAAAAAGAGATTAAAGCAAACTTCTGT